TTCCTCTGGACCGGTGGACCCAAAGGAGTCTTGGTATGGTAAGTTTATTAAAATAGTTTAGACGTAGATGAGAAAGCCTCAAAGGGAGAACAGTTATGCACACACACGCAGGCAGAACAGTTTTAATTAAGTGAAACGGAAAGCAATGCGTAATATGGAGCAGTTAGTTGAAACCAAAGGAAGAAGTGAGTGTGTATGTAGGAATTAAAGTAGTATAGGTATTCTTCCCCTTCCTAGGGCGCTGTCCACGATGATTGGAGCAGAGAGGACGATTGGAGGACGGATGGACTGAAGGACCAATAACGAGAGAGTTAAGTCGAAACCACGGCTTCTCCCCAACAGTTTTTGACCAATTAGATAGTAGTACCTTTTCATAGAAATATTGTATACCACTAAGTTGAGGTCAGTCTTTTCTGTTTTATCCTAAACAGTGAAGATCCATGTGCACAGGCTAATTTTGATACGTTAATGCATAATAAATTTCACACTGTGAAATATATATCGTCTTATTAGTCTTCTCTTTTCAATATAAAACGAACACGCCTCACAGCATCACCTAAAACACAATGCAGGATCCTATACAGCAATATTCTATATTGGTGTTTATTCATTATTAAACAGTTTCAGCTCATTCTGGAGTTCTCCTAGCTCCAGAGCTAGGAGAACTAAGCACATCACGTCTGTTCTTAAATCCTTACACTGGCTACCTAGAGAATCGTGCAACTGCAAAGTTAATAAATCACTCAGTGGTATGGGGTTAAAATACATTTCTGAACTCCTTGAAGAACACAAACCCAGCAGGGCTCTGAGACCCTTAGGAAGCAGTCAGGTGGTAGAACCTCAGGTCAGAACCAAACAGGGTGAAGCTGCTTTTAGCTACTATGCTGCACACAGATAGAACCAATGTCCTGATGACTTTACTGTGCCCCAACTCTGCCACTTTCAAGTCTCAACTGTGCCTTTGTTTGACTTGTTGCTATGCTGCACTGTTTTTCATCTGTTGCATTCAGGGCAACTTATCTCTGCACTGTAACTGCTAGATAATCATGTGTCAGACCTTTGACTTTGTCTATTTGATTTAATTTACATTTAATTTCATTTCAATGTCTTATCTTCATTTTGTTTATTTTTTTTCATTTTAGTCTGTTTTAATGGTTGTTAATTTTAATGCTATTACTTTTTTGTTTGTTTGCCTATATAAAGCACATTGAATTCTCTCTGTGCGTGAAATATGCTATATAAATAAAGCTGACTTGCCTTGCCTACTGTCACAAAGGCCATATCCACAACATGAAGTATAGCCTATAAGATTAGATTTCTCACAAACTAAACCATGACTACATGAAAATATTGATTAAAGTGAGCAACCCAATTAGTAAAATGACTGCCAGAGAAAAGGATGGATTTCAAAATAAAGCTGAAATGGTAGGCACCTACCTGAACAAAATGTGAGACCTTGCACCAAAGTAAACAGTTCATCTTGTTGGTTGGGTTTATCATAGCAAACCATACAGTATATCATAGCTACTCTGGATTTTTGTTTTTTAAAGGTCCACACCCACACCTCAAAGCAAACACAGCAACCTTCCTTGTCTTTTTTGTTTCTTTCCCACAGATAACAGAACCCAGTAAACAAAGAAAATTCTTTGACCTAAGTGTTTGTTTTGGGTGGGTGGTTGTTTGCTCAGTTCTTTACAGCTTGCATGTGATGATATTTGAGAAACAGAGAGACACCCTGATGTTGACAAAGCCATATTATCATTAAGGTGAAAATTACAAACCCCTTGTAACTTCTATTCTGATTCACGCTGTGTAATCACTGACTGGACCTGGCAGAAAATCAACCTGACACGGATGTTTGAGCAAACCTTGAACTTCGTCACAATCTGATTGGTAAGCATTTGTCTTCAAGGAGCAAACCATTATGATTTTGCTTCTCTGACTCAGCCTAACAGTTTAAACGACTGACTTCATAACATCATGACAATATGACACCAACCTGCGGAGGGAAGACGTAGTCAGACACGTCCCAGACTCTCTCATGTCCGTTCACACTGGTGTAGCCCACGCCTTTCATTTTGGTGAAGATGGAGCTGACTGCTGTGTCTGTGGACTGGTAGCCTTTCTCATAGATGAAAACCCACCTGTATGAGACACAGAGCATCCTGTCAGGCCTATCACCACCTCTGACTCCCACTGCACCCTGGCCAACCATTTACAGTGGGTACGAAAAGTATTCAGACCCCCTTAAATTTTTCACTCTTTGTTATATTGCAGCCATATGCTAAAATCCTTTAAGTT